AACGGGTGGGAGGGACTTTGGGTGGGGGTGGGGGGGAACTGAGGGGAGGCGAGGAGCCTTTCATCTGTGTGCCAACGTGTAAGTTGTGTTAGGTCTGTAGCTCAGTGGCGTCTAAAAGAAACTTGAAAGTGTAATCACCCAATCATCGTGTTAAAGCCTCGCATTACCCACTCATGCTGCATACCAGTTTAAAGTTAAATATATACTGCATCGTCTGACACATTAATGGTTCATTTGTGTTAAGAGACACCTGAGATATGGTCGCTGAGAACTGACCTTAAAAAAACAGGCTTGGCAAAATTGTGCAAAATATAAAAAAACCCAACAACAACTGAAATTGTCTTGGCGCGTGTATTGAGGAGCGTCAATATTGATAGAATGGATATATATTGGATGTCCAATGGGTGGAGAAGTTTGCGGGGTTTTGTCACGATAGTTTCAAACAAAAAGGAAAACAGAACAATCACAAATACCACACAAAACTTAACATTAAATTTGCTCGTTGCTTTTTTGCTTAGAAGCCATTGGTTTTGTGTAGTGCCCGAACCTTAGGGGCATCGGCTCTAGTAAACTTTGGACCTAATTATTTGTCGTTTCATCCCAAATGTCACAGAGTTTCAAACAAAGGGTCAGAATGGGGAGAAAAGTCGATTTTCTTCAGCTGCTGTTTCATGGGACTTCACATACCTGTAGGATTCTTATCGGGGCTGTTTGCTTGTGACAACAACTCCAACGTTGATATGATTAGGTTTTCCAACAATTGTCTAGTGGCGTTGGCCATGTGAGAAAGTTCTTTGCTATGGATGTAGATGTCTACTTGAATGACACCGTCACGGAAATAAGGGTAAGACATGACATTCCAGCACTTACCCGATGTAGTCCACTAATCCTTTTGGTGATTCTCAAGAGGGCGATTTTGATCATTCCAGCCTAGATCACCCAAAGCTATGACAGTTTCGTGGCCTCTGTTCCTCACTGACAGATGATTATCCAAAACTAACACTGTCCTTTATGAAAAAAGTGTTCGTGCTCGACACGAAACCAATAGCTCTTAAACAAAAATACAATTAGAACTTATGATCACGTGTACCTGTTAAGTCCAGGTTTTGCGTGGCTTTTGTAACTGCTCTGTTTTCTAATCTATTGGAAAATATTGGAAAATGCTGTTCATTGCAGAGACAATAATGTTCTCTTTTCATTTGATTTTCAATACAAGGCCATTCCACCAAAGTTGATGCACCTCAATACAGGACCGAACACACTTTTACGTTTCTTTGATTTCGCACAATTTTGACAAACCTGGGGGCTCTCGTGGCCTAGAGGTTAAGGTGTTGGCCTCTCATTCAAAGGTCCCGGGTTCGAACCCGGGTAGCGACTGAAAGATGTTCTTCTCTAAAATGGTCTCCTTTCACCTCCTTTCCTGCTCTCTAGCAATATTCTGTCGTCTGCTTTCGTCTCCTCTTTCTGCCCCCACCCCTTCGCCTCCTTTGCCCCCTCCTCTGGGCTCCTGACTCTTTTTGCAGCCTTTCTACTGCTACTTCTTGACTCCTTCTTACAGCTGTCTTTCTGCCACACCCCTGATCTTCTGGTAGGAAAGATCTACACCTAGCCTTCTCAGACAAGGGCGAAAAATCTCGGAGGGCCCGTGTGCAAGTTAAGCACGTTAAAGATTCCCTGGTGGTCTAAATTCGATAAGAGTAGGCTTCGGCCGCCACCCGGGCAAATTTCAAAAATCCCTACCAACTAAAAGTATT